AAGGTGGGGCTTGTAAAGACGACCCACGGTCGAAATGTCGCGTGGCGGAGTGTGAGGATGTCCGGTGGTCGGAAACCAGGGGGACAAGGCGAGTCGAAGCCAGACGAATTTGACCCTAAAACTGGCCAGTCGGAACCAATCAAGTTAGCTATCGGTGCAACAGTCGAAGGCGGACCTTCAACGGAAGCGAGCATAGACGAATTGAGCGTGTCCGAAGAAGCACCTGAGGCAATCAATTCGGGCAATTCTTCATCAATCGTCCAAAGGTCATGGCTACTGCCGATCCTATCTGCAGACGACGAGGGGAGCGAACGTGAGGTACTCGACGAATGAGGAGAACTCTTTGGCCCCGAAGGTCCAACGGGTCTGTTCCCACACCTCAAGACAGCACTCACGTCAGACTGATTAGTTTCCGACGAAGCAGCAATCCGACGAGGCGAGGGTGCAGAGGTTGCAGACGATAAGTGCGATGGCGAAGGTGGGATGTGAGCATTTGGCTGAAGACCGACCTGATCGACACTTGAAGAAACAACGTGTACCCGAGTACCGCTGTAATTGGATAGCACCGAAGTGCGAGAGCGCGTAGGGAGAACATTTACCGAAGTATTGTTGTGGTTGCTTAGGACCGGAGTGCTAGAGGCAACAGAGCGCGTAGGGAGAACATTTACCGAAGTATTGTTGTTGCCTAAGACCGGAGTGCTAGAGGCAACAGAGCTCGTAGGGAAAACATGTACCGAAGTACTGTTGTCGGTGCCTAAGACCGGAGTGCTAGCGAGTGGCAACAGAGCGCGTAGGGAAAACATGTACCGAAGTATTGTTGTCGTTGCCTAAGACCGGAGTGCTAGAGGCAACAGAGCGCGTAGAGGGAACATGTACCGAAGTACTGTTGTCGGTGCCTAAGACCGAAGTGCTAGCGAGTGGCAACAGAGCGCGTAGGGAAAACATGTACCGAAGTATTGTTGTCGGTGCCTAAGACCGGAGTGCTAGAGGCAACGGAGCGCGTAGAGGGAACATGTACCGAAGTACTGTTGTCGGTGCCTAAGACCGAAGTGCTAGCGAGTGGCAACAGAGCGCGTAGGGAAAACATGTACCGAAGTATTGTTGTCGGTGCCTAAGACCGGAGTGCTAGAGGCAACGGAGCGCGTAGAGGGAACATGTACCGAAGTACTGTTGTCGGTGCCTAAGACCGAAGTGCTAGCGAGTGGCAACAGAGCGCGTAGGGAAAACATGTACCGAAGTATTGTTGTCGGTGCCTAAGACCGGAGTGCTAGAGGCAACGGAGCGCGTAGAGGGAACATGTACCGAAGTACTGTTGTCGTTGCTTAAGACTGGAGTGCTAGAGGCTACTGAGGGTGATACACGCGCGTCTTGTTGTGAGCGAGACGAAGTTCCCAAAGATGCTGGAGGCGGTCCGAGGGAAGGAGACGAACCACCGTCGGGGAGTCATCCGGTACGTGAACGGTCGCCATTGTGGAAGTTACCAGGCTGGCGTGCGTTGTGATTGGTCGAAACCATGACGCCAGACGAGGGACCAGTTTGAGCATGCGATTGGGGTTGATAGACAGACAGAGCACCAGGGTGGTGGGTGTCGCCAGACGTCTGTTGTTGTTGTTTTGTTGTTGTTTCTCACATTAGCTCTAAAAAAGAAAGATTGGGAGACGAGCCTCTTGTGTCAACAAAGGAGTCCATAAAAAAGGATCATCGGTGCTACGAAAATTGACGGTGAGGGCGTATACATCAGACCAGTCGGCTTGCGAAGCAGGCCACGAGTTGTAGTTGTGCGTGAAAGGATCCGTGGCTTGAGGTTGCACGGGCAAAACTACAGGGTTCTGTGCGGAGCCGGATGCCCACTGGTCCGAAGACGCAGGGGCGCGGTGGTTAGACCGCTGAGGCTGCAGAGAGCCACGGGTCGAAGTCAACGAAACATAAGATGAACCACCGATAGCCGGGGTTTCATTAGTCGCCAAAGGCGCGAACGCCTCCCACATAATCGCAATCGACTCAAAGGGAGTGAACGCAGTGGCCAAAACACCCGGGTACAAAAGCGGAGACAGACTCGGAAATTGCTTGTCGACCGAGTTTCGCACTATTTCGAGAACCATGGATACACTAGGGGCCAAAGTACGCTCAGAGCCAGTCACAGACGAAACTAACAAACGGAAAAGCCCGAAGATAATCCGCGAAAGGAGTACCATCTGCTACGCCAAATAGTTGCAGCCGCAAAAACCACTCTTGGCGGTCTCCGACGTCAAATTGCTCCGCCAGGTGACGCAACAATAGCTGGAAAGCGTCTGGTCCAGGGGCTCCTCGATCCAAGCTCCGTTTCACTTGCTGAAATAAATCAGTAACGGCAAGGACGAGATCGGCGGTAGAGGGCTTGTCGGGGGTGATCGCACTCAAAAGTTTTTTTTCGAGAGGACGTTCCCATCCGCGCACAAAATCGGCGCCTGTCAAACCTTCACTCTGCTCATCACACAACAGCAAAATATCGGACAAAGCCGTTCTTGTTGTGCGAATAAGCTGCTGATAGTCATCTCCCGGCAACAGAGTAGCGGGGAAGGGCATGGGTAGCGACATTCTCAACTTTTTTCAAGTTGAGGGTGATGTACGCTCGTTGTACGGTAGCTACATGAGCATTACGAGCAGCTGCATCAGTCGCATCGATCGATGCTTGACGAGCTTGTGCTGTGTTAGAAGAGAGTGGCAAAGCACGATCATCGGAGACAGCGGGGGGTGCGGCGACGGCTACCGACGCAGCTGTGGGGGCATGGTCCGAAGACAACATGCTACGTAAAACACCCGGCACTGGTGGATCAAACGCCGAAGGGGGGTTGAGGTTCGAAAACCCAGGGTTCTGCATCATTCGTAGATCTACGGCATGGCGAGCGGTAGAAAGGCTACGGGGTGCAGAGGTTTCCAAAGAAACAGGGGTGGTCGAAACCGGAGCTAAGTTCGAAAACTCAACGCTACGTACATGTCCGGGGTCTACAGCATTGAATGCGGCAGAACGGACAGAAGGTGCAAAGGGTTCCGAAGAAACAGGGGAACCTAAAGGCGGGTGAAGGTCCGAAAACGCAACACGACGCAAACGCCCTGAGTCCGAGGAAAGAGGGGGGGCCGAAACCGTACCAACAACCGAAGTCNCGACGCAAACGCCCTGAGTCCGAGGAAAGAGGGGGGGGCGAAACCGTACCAACAACCGAAGTCGAGGGGGGGTCCGACGCCTGTGAAAAAACATCATCATGTAAAAGTGAACGATTACTCAAAGTCGCATTTATACGGGACGGGACTACTTGCCTGGCAGAAGGACCCTTCCGAGCGCCGTGCTTCCGGGTGAGACTCCGGTCTGAACCAGAGCCCGATCCGCCTCCTCTGCCACGAGTCCTGCTCGTGTGGCGCTTGGCCTGCTGCCGTGCCCGGCCATCGCCCGCCAACGAAGATGGCTCCGGGGGGCGGCGAGACACTCCCGCGGAACTCCAGCCCGAGTCCTCGCCCGAGCTACTCTCTCGCAAGATGGGCTGGAGCGGCTTGGCCTTGACGCGGCCGGCCTTGGGCTGCTGGAACGCCGGAGATGCCGGAGTCGCCCCACGGCGCAGCCGGGCCACACCACCGGAAACGTTGCGTTCATGGTGGCCGCCCGCATCGCCACGAGGAGGCAGCTCACCACATCGTGGAGGTCGGGCCGAGACCCGTTGGCCGCATCAGCGGCGTCCTGTATTGAGGCAGCCGACGGCAGGTAGCGAAATAGCAGGTTACAGTCGACACTGCAGTAGTAACCGAGGTAACGGCTAGAAACGCCGAAGCAGCAACTAGCATTGGGGTTGGTTGTCGAAACAATAGGTAATGAAACCGCGGTGCGAGCACGGCGAGCAGTCGAAACTGCGGGCATAGTCTAAACTAGTGGCATGGAAACCGCGGTGTGAGCACGGTGAGCAATTGCAACTGCTGTTACATACGTGAGCCGAAGCTACAGCACGTGTCCAGTGGGGTGGGTGAACGAAGTCATACAATAAGCCAAACACAGCCGGTTAGTGCCGTTTGCGAGCAATCGAAACTGCAGACACAGACGGTGTGAGCCGAAGCTACATCACGTGTCCGTGTTGGGTGACCGAAGTCATAATTAACCGGTTAGTTTCGACTACTCTTGATGTTTATATGCATATAATGTGGTTACATACTTACGACAAATGTACAACAAATACCATGGGATACACCACCCGCTCAATAATTTGGCCCTAAAACGGAATTTGTTGGAGAAGGAAAGAGAACGAATACCCACACAGCCAGCAGCAGAGTTGTTTAGTTGTACGGCGCTCACCCCGGAAGGTGAGTGCGGCGACAAGAGATACTGCTACTTGCATGATCGACGGAGCGTCAACGCCAAGTTTCGCCCAACAAACGCGGGAAAAAAAGAAAACGCTGCAAGTAGATATACAAATAATAAAAGCATCAAACGCCACGAAGGCGAGAAAAAAAGAAACAGCCGAAGCTGAGAAGAGAGCCAAGCTCAACAGTCGAAGCTGTCAAACAAACCGAACCTGGCAAAAGAACCGAAGCTCAAGAGCCAAGCTACTGCTGTAGCAGACGAGCCGAAGCTCAAACGACGGCAGCGGCTACAACGGAGAGCCGGGGCTCAACAACTGTTGGTGTGTCTGGAACCGAAGTTCCCTAATGAGACAGATGTGTGCAAAGGTAGAATCGAGCAGAGACACCCTGAGACGAACCTCTCTCGCCTGCATGCAGCACGAAGCTCAGACGGGCGGGCCAAGGTCATGAGAGGGTCAGCCACTCCTCCAGTGCTACAGGCGGGGAAGAGGGCATATACAACCATCATGGTCGGGAGCGTAGAAATTGCAAGGCAGCAACAAAATGCAGTAGAAGTAGTCGAAACTATAGAAACAGGTGCATCACGACCAAGGGAAGCAGCCACGGCAGTCGAAACGACAGGAGCAGATGCAACGGGGGGCAGTCGAAACTACTGAGGCGGTTGCATTGGAAGCGGTCGGAACCGCAAAGGTAGTCGAAATTACCCGAACAGATGCATGTGAAGCAGTCAAATCCAAAGGCACTGATGCCACTGAAACGGATGCACGACGGTCAAAAAGCCGTTGGGCACGAGCGGCGGCTTGTGTGCGACTGCTACGCGACGAAAATGGAGGAATGGTCGGCACAGTGTAATCGAAATGCAGTGTGCTGCCAACAACAGAGCCATGAGGCAAGCGTGGCACTATGAGCCAGTATTGTCAAAGCCAATGTTTGCCCGAACAGCAGAAGGCTCAGCGGCGGTGAACGTGAGGGGAAAAGTGGAATCAGCAACATGTGGTTCCGGCGGGAAAACTTGGGACACACCACCAGCGGCTGTAAAAACAGAAGGCTGGGTACTCGAAAGGACAGAGGTGAAAGCCAAAACTTCTGCTGTGGGTGCTGGCAATTTGAGTACAGCACCCACGGGATTAGCGTCAGTAGAAGTCGTGGAGGCGAACTCCTCCCGTCGGCGTTGAGCGCGAAGCTCTGACAAACGGGTGGCTTCTACGATGGGGTCAGCAGCACTCGCGCCATCAAAAGACGGCAACAACGACGATTGGGAATCGTCGGCTGTCGACCCCAAAGCCGAAGCACTGTGTGGAGACACCAGCGAGCGAGATGAGGGCTCTGGACTGACCGAAGCCGAGTCCGAGGAGCCGACGCTAAGTTGAGACATACCGATCAGCGAGGCAAAGCTAAGTTGTATGGAGACGAAAGCGAAGAAAGCTGCGTGCAGCAGGCTCGAGTCGCCGAAACACAAACCCCAGAAAGCACGCTGTACGTCCTGCCGACGACGCCAACTGTAAAGGATATGCACGCGCGGTGCAATCTCGGAGACCCGTGTAGACGAACTCACTTGTTATTAACTCGTGTGGAACAGAAGTAGCTGTTGCCAAGGGAAGGTAGAGGACTGACTAGGATGGGGCCAGGATCAGCTGCTAAAGCAGGGGCTACTAGATCCTGTCCCCTGTTCTGTCCTTCCGTGGGGAGTTACATCTCCCGCACTTTTCTCTGGGCGTTAGCCCGCACTACCCTTTGTACTTTCCTACACATTCAAATCCCATAACACTTCGCGTTGAAAAAGAGCTTCAAAAGCTTCCTGCCCGAAATCGGTGGAACCACAACGAATCTTTGACCCCCTATCCTAGAAGTAAAGCACGACGACCTTCCCTTCGAGGACTCGAAAACTCCCGGGCTTCGCACCCGCAACGACCAAGGCACCAAAAAACAAACCAAAAATTTGAACCGGAATTCCTCGAGGCGGGGCAGCCCACCAATTTTTCAGGAAAAACTCCCAACTTTCTACCGAACACAGGCTGTTATTGAATCGCCTGTGCCTCTCCCACCCATCCTCCCGAAAAAGGACGGCACGTCGCTACTAAGACCCCAAAGCCAAACATCAAGAACCGACACACCATACCGGACAAAAACAAAACATAATCGGCATCAGAAGGCAACACCAAAGACGAAAAATCCGGAACACACACCACGCGGAAACAGAAAAAAGAAAAATTGTGGCGAGGTCGTTCGTGTCGCTCTCTCGTTCTCTCCTCCCGCCGCGAAAACAAATTTCCGCGAGACGTCGAAGTGCTCTCCGCCTCCACCCTGAAAAATCTTCGACGTGCCGTCTCGCTCTCCCCACCACCACGGAAATCCCTCCTCCACAGCGCTCCCCGACCACCACGGCGAAACCTCCATCACAGCGCACCCCAACCACCACGAAACTCCGACCTCCACAGCCTCCCCGACCACCACGAAACTCCGACCTCCACAGCCTCCCCGACCACCACGGCGAAACCTCCATCACAGCGCACCCCAACCACCACGAAACTCCGACCTCCACAGCCTCCCCGACCACCACGAAACTCCGACCTCCACAGCCTCCCCGACCACCACGGCGAAACCTCCATCACAGCGCACCCCAACCACCACGAAACTCCGACCTCCACAGCCTCCCCGACCACCACGAAACTCCGACCTCCACAGCCTCCCCGACCACCACGGCGAAACCTCCATCACAGCGCACCCCAACCACCACGAAACTCCGACCTCCACAGCCTCCCCGACCACCACGACGCACCCTCTTCCACAGTGCACCCCGACCACCACGGCGAAACCTCCATCACAGCGCACCCCTCAGGTCCCGTACCTCCGGGCGCTCCCGGACCGCATGTGCACAAGAAAACACCTCGATCCGGGCGGACCATCCACCGCCGTACAATATTTCGTCGGCGACAGTGACACGTTCAAACGCCGCTCGAGGTCGACGAAATTGACGTTGTTCGGCAGGTCCTCCTCCCGCGCCCTCGAAACCTGATGTACTACTCCCAGCTGCCAGCCCTCCTGTTTCGTCCGCACGCAAACATGCGCTCCTTTCATCTCCGCTGACAGCAAGGCCGGCCCACGCTCCCACGTCGCCAGTAACGCGTACCCTGGTGGCACATCAAGGGAATTACGAGAGCGAGCTTGCGCGCGGTGCGCGGCAAGCTTATTACAGTCACGGTGCACTTTATTGTCGGCTCCTACTTGGCGCACTGTACTGCCCACCCAATACTTTACGACAAAATCACCATCCTGCTGGATGTTTGCTTCAGATTCCCAAGTGGGCTGGCGGTGTCCGCGTCAACGCGTTTCGTATTGTACCGCGATGGAACCCCCTGAACCTACTGATACGGTGACCGGTGATAGCGGTCAGCTGCGCACGCTGTACGTCAAGCTCTATTTCCACGTCATCCGCGGTGAGGTAGAAGGGAGGCGCCATGTCCGAAAATTTATGCAGGACGTACGAACAAGTTTTCCAAGGTAAGAAGTCGGGAATTTCCTCAGGTTCGTCCGCACGATGGCAACGCTTACAACGCAACACTGAGACACGGTTGGATTTGGCCTGTGTGTCGTGTGGTAAATCCAGATGCGGCAACTTGGACCCAACTTGCATGTCGTTAAAGCGACAGGGCCCGACAGCAAGCACTATTAATGGTCCTATCCACAGGTTAGCGAGTTTGGCTTTAATCCTATTGGCAGAAGCTGTTTATCGTCATTCGCTGTTCGGAGGGTGTGCTGTGGATCGTAGCACCACACCCATGTGCCCGCGTGGAAAATCGGCCGCTTCGTAATGAGGTTGTCGAGATCTTCGTTGCGTGCTCGGTGTTTTTCTTTCGTGAGCCTGTCTCTTTCGACCGCTAGCTTGTAGGCTTTCGCTTGCCGGTCTTCCATGAGGTAGAGGCACCAGATCATCCCGCTTTTTCGACTGCATACCAGAAACCACCTTCTGTGACCCAAGAACTGTCATCGGTAAACGAAGATACCGGCCAATATGTACTTCCATGGGCACAAGATCGGTAGCCTTACTCACGTGATTGTTGTGAGCGTACACACACGGCAATGGATGGTCGTCCCAATCGGTTTGTGGGGCGATGATCACATCAGACAGCATCTGGCAGACCGTATGGTTCAATCTTTCGACGCACCCGTTGGTTTGAGGGTGGAATGAGCTGGTAAACCGTTTATTGGCCGCAAGCAATCGGTACACATCACGCGCGACCGCCGCCGTAAACTCGCCACCTCTGTCCGACAATAAATACACCGTGCGTTCCCAACGCGTACAATAATCGTCGGCTAGCTTTGAGGCACACCCCTGATCCCGTTTCTCGTCGGCAGAGAGAGCGTAGGGTTCGGCATGCCTACTAAACAAGTCGACGACCAGCAACACGTATTTGTTTCCGCGTTTAGTTGTCGGCAGAGGGCCAAGGATATCAAACGCCACCATTTCCCCCGGCCGAGAGGGTAAGGGAAGCGAGATCAACGGCCATCTAGGTTTTCGGCGAGCCGTTTTCGAGGCTTGGCACACGATGAAGTGTTTAATGAACCATCGCACGCTGTCACTCATGCCAATCCAAAAGTAGTAACGCTCGAGGGAGGCCAGCATCACGTCCACGTCCTCTCCTAACTGACAGCCTTCTGTGTGCACCGCGTTTAGCGCCCACGGCCGCAAACGAANATTGGCCGCAAGCAATCGGTACACATCACGCGCGACCGCCGCCGTAAACTCGCCACCTCTGTCCGACAATAAATACACCGTGCGTTCCCAACGCGTACAATAATCGTCGGCTAGCTTTGAGGCACACCCCTGATCCCGTTTCTCGTCGGCAGAGAGAGCGTAGGGTTCGGCATGCCTACTAAACAAGTCGACGACCAGCAACACGTATTTGTTTCCGCGTTTAGTTGTCGGCAGAGGGCCAAGGATATCAAACGCCACCATTTCCCCCGGCCGAGAGGGTAAGGGAAGCGAGATCAACGGCCATCTAGGTTTTCGGCGAGCCGTTTTCGAGGCTTGGCACACGATGAAGTGTTTAATGAACCATCGCACGCTGTCACTCATGCCAATCCAAAAGTAGTAACGCTCGAGGGAGGCCAGCATCACGTCCACGTCCTCTCCTAACTGACAGCCTTCTGTGTGCACCGCGTTTAGCGCCCACGGCCGCAAACGAAAAGGAGCGTACAATCGGACCGATTCATTCCCCAAAAGTCTTTCGAATTTACCGCCGCTGTGTCGTTGGGCGCGAGATGTAGGCGCTTCGGACGGTTTCTACCAGCAGCACGTGGTGGGCGTCTTTGGCCCCTACCGGCTCGGAGCGAGGCAAAGTCACGAGTGTGCATTTGTCCGCCAACTTCAGAATCCTTTTAAGAGTGATTGTACCTTCATCTCCAATACAATTGCCCATATCGGGAAAGCTAAACGAGTCAGAATCACCCACGTACTTGATGACGTAAGACGCCAGGGGGTCTCGCGCTTGCTCGGCGGCGCACTCGAGGTCGGTCCTGTCGCACAACCGCGCCCCGAATCGACAAGTCGACTCGACGCGTGCGTCCGTAACGAAGGTCGGGCGCTGGGCGGCGGTCGACGGGGTACGGCGTGCGGCGGCGGCCCGCCTCGATCTCGATGGACGAACTCGGGGCCCCTCCGGTGTCGAAGCTGAGTCTCGGCGCGGCGTCGGTGGACGATCACGGGGCTCCTCAGGTGCCGTGACAGCCGTAGTGGGCGTCGGCGCGGCAGGACGCCGGCCGCGACGACCGGCCCCGCGGGAAGCCGGCCGTTCCACCACGGGGTCGGCGGAAAGAGGCGGTCTCTGGCGCCGGTGACGGCGACCGGCCCCACTAGGAGCCGGTGTGTCCTTCGCGGGGCCCGTCCGGGACGGCGGTGTCGGACCCCGAGCGGCGGCACGACGCGTCGGTCGTGCGACCGAAGCACCGCCGCTAGCAGGCACAGCGGTGGCAGCGGCGGGCTCAGGTGCCTCCTCCCGTTCTCGAATCTTCCAAGAAGGACGACTTCCTACTCGGACACGAGGTGACCGAGGCACGACCCCAGCGGAGCGGGTGGAGACCGGCAACACCGGCGTAGCCGGGAAAACCGAGCACGCGTGCAGCAGAACACCTGATTGAGACTGACCACTGAAAGTACGATGGGAAACGGGAGCGGAACTAGGGGCGGGAGGCGGGTTAATAACGAGGATCCGCGGCTCCTGATACCTGACAGTACTGACGCCGCGTTGACGAGATCGGACAGCCAGATCCCACTGGTTCTTCGCGACCTCATCGGTGGTCAACGGATCTACGGGCTCCATAAACGCCCCAGAATTCTCGTGGGAGGAAGTCTGCAATTGCAAACCCAAGGGAGGGGACAGGCAATTTGCAGCACCCACAAAGTACATTTCGAGATCACCCTCTTCTATGAGGCGGTTCGGCCCCGATTCATATTTGTCGGTCGCAGATTGCGGCAACCGAAAAAGCATGTCAGCCGCCTGATTATCGTTCCCCTTTTTGTAGCGCAAGGAAAACTGATAGCTGCTGAGGAAGTCACACATTCTATGCACTCGGAGCTTCTTTTCACTCAAAGACAGATAGCTAGTCAACGGTTGGTGGTCCGTATGCACCACGAAGGGAATACCGTACAAATACACTCGGAGCTTTTTGACAGCCCAAACCAACGCCCCCATTTCTAGGTCAGTCGTGTCCCAGTTGCATTCGTTGGGAAGCGTTGATCGACTGACGTATACGAGAGGACGCATCGTGCCATCCCTCTGTTGCTGTTCCAGAACGGCCCTAAAGCCATGAACAGACGCATCGGGCGATAACTGAAATGGGCGAGATCCATCGATGGCAGCCTCATAGTCAGGGAACGCCAGGTTGTCGTGCTCATCAACGTTTTGAGAATCGCTCTAGTGGTTTCTTCGTGTTGAGTCGTAAACCGAAGTTTCTGCCTTTTTTTAGCATGTCGTTGAGCCCCCGCACTCGAGTGGCCAAGTTAGGGATACACTTGCGGAGATACGAAAAACTGCCCAACAGGGAACGCGGCTGGCTCTTCTTCGTAGGCATAGGCATATTTTCCAACGCCGCAACCTTAACACACCCAGGCGCGAGGCCAGTTGGAGTGATCATATGCCCAAAAATTCCACTTCGGCGACACCCACATTCGCTTTCTTGGGAACGAATTTCAGATTGTGGATGCGCAACCGTTCCAACAACTTCTCGGAAGCACCACATGCTCTGCCGCTGATTTTTGAGTGCACCACGATATCATCCAAATACAACTGCACACGCTCCGACCTCTCACACACCTTGGCCATCAACAACTGGGAGTGGTTGGGCGCACCACTCGCCCCCATGGGGACTCGATCGAATCCTTACCACCACGTGCTCGTCACGATGGCCGTTAAGGAGATGGAATCCTCGTGGATCGCTACTTGATAGAAGCCGCTCACCAAGTCGAGCACCGAAGAGCTACCCCCCAGCTGGTCGATGCATTCTGCAATGTGGGGCAGAACGCTACAGGGGACTACTGTTGCGCTGTTCAGTCGTTTTTCATTGGCCGTCACTCGCACCGACCCCTTCTTGTTCATCACACACACCACCGGGGACGCCCACTCGCTGTTGGAACGCCGCAAAATGCCCGCCAATACCATTTTATCCATCTCAACCTGGAGCTTGGCATTAATCGCGGGATTTCGGCGATATACGCGCTGTTTGATGGGGCGCGTACCAGGCTTCAATTCAATTCGAAAAGGGATGGTGCTGCAGTAGCCTAGACCGGGCTCTCAGATAATCGATCAGAATATTTCGTGAGGAGCGCAGCGAGGTGATCAATATCCTCAGGCTACCACGTGGAAAGATTCAGACCGAATTAAATTTATCTAAGATGCGGCGGCACGGTTGCCCATTACCGGCGGAAAGCACTCTCACACTCAGGAGCCATATTCTCCAGCAACTCGGCCGGCGGTTGCTCGGGGCGGTCAGGATTGCCCGGGCTCGAGTCGTCTACCACATTGACCTTCGAATCGCGAGGGGAGGCAGTTGCTACCGTCTCGCGAAACACAAAGTCGGACACAGGAACATAAAGCAGCGGCGTCACACTGCAACAAATAGCCTCATTGGGCGTGAAGGAACTGGCCTTTGACATCGCCAATGGCAAATGACACCCGCCCGCTTCGACGAACACTTCATGCGGACTCCACCCTTCCGCGAGCCGGGCATAAAATTTACCCGATGTCACGGTCACCCCAGCAGCGGTTTCAAAACGAACAGGCACCCACTCGCGTTGCCTTTCTGCCACCGGTGAACGGGCGGAAGAATCCACTACAAGTCTGAACTCGCTACCATCGTGGTCGGGGCACTCAACCATTGCAATAATGTCAGAAAAATCAGGCCGGTCGGCGGCGGCAGTCGCAGCTACCATTTTCGCAGACGCAGAACGGGGAAATGTAGTCTCTCTGAACGACGCTTCCGATGAGTGGGCGCTGTTGTCCAGGCGCAACAAACATGTGTCGTTGCCGATGTCAATATATTCACAACGCTGAAAGTGTCGTTAACTATCCGTACCAAGAAAATATCGTGAGACATCACCCCGTCAGGCACAATATAGGCCTGCACGGCTAAACGGGCACTCCCTCTATCGAATCGATCGAAGAACTGCACGTTTAAGCGAGCCATTTGATTCGTGCGCAGCGGTTGACCATTAAACCCCGTCCACCCTTGTGTTTTCACGGAACGAATACCTTCTTCCAACGCTGCACCTGTTCTCACCATTCGATCCATCACACTGCTACAGTACCGGTCGCCCCGGTGGTCTAGTCTAGTGGGTAACCTCACAGCCTGCTAAGGGCCAGGTCATGGGTTCGAGTCCCGGCAGAGTGAGTGTTTTTTCTCACTAAATAAATCCTGGTCTAGGATGAAAACGACGCGCTCCAAAGAAAGCTCGTTGTCAGTAAACCATAATCGACTTCGTAAGTCGCGAGGGAAGGGATTGCTGTACCCTTCTCGCGATAAAAATACCTCAGGCAGGAACCGCAGGAGGGGGTCCAGCCCCCCCCTCCTATGTGACCCCGGTTGGGTCGTCTAGCTAGTAGAAGTGGAGGATAGGGGCCAGAGGGGCAGACGACAGAGCCCAATGATGGGAGAAAAAAAAAAAAGCACAGATAAACGACTGCGCCGAACCAGTGTCTACCAACGCGCGACACACATATTGTACTCTGGCCCGCCCAGCAAACACACTCACTTGCGCTACCTGAGTGGACTGCTGCAACCGGGCTTCGCCCGGCACGAATGCGTGATACTCCTCGAGAAATCCAGACAATTCGTATCCTTCTGTTGGTCGAATACTTCGCGGAGGATTATTACCCCAAGAGGGTAAGGAGGGCGAACCGTCATTATATTTAATCGCCAGCACACCACTCCGGGATTTTTTTTCTTGTGTTTCTTTGTTCGGCCATCGTTGTCATTTTTTACCGCCCCTAAGGGCGAGATTAGATGTATGCTCGTCCGAGCGGATAGAACGGGGCGGGCAGATAGCGATGCCGGTGAACTAGATGTAGACACGGCCACCTGGTTCACTATCTACAGGATCGGCCAACGGGGAAGCTGACGGTAGGGAACAACTCCTCTCTTCTTTTACTCCGTTGACACTCAACCGATTTGTTGAGATTTCGGTAATCACTGGAAGCATCGACAACGCGGCAGCCGCTCGCTTTGCTAAACAGTAGCTACCCCGGGGGGATGGGCTTACAACCGCAGGCGTGGTCTTGAGCGCCGGTTTTGTCACGGCAGCCAAATTCCCGCGATTGTCTATACTACTTTCGGTTCGGGTTTCGGATCGGTTTCGAGCTGCAGGCGTTATGAGATCGGCCGCCGCTGCTACTGCCGTCAGCCGCCTGCAGCTCCTGGAACACCGCGCTTCCAACGCGGGCGAGGAGATGGAGCTGGTCCGCGCTTCCGGGGCGCTTCGCGTGGAGACGTCGCGGGCGGACGTTCGGAGGAGCACGGACGCTCTTCGCATCGCCGAGCGCTCGCTGTCGCCTACGTCCGCCGGCTCTTCCGGGCTGCCCCAACAAGCGCCTTCGTATTCCGAGATTGTCCGTGGATCGTCTTCAAGCACTTCGGAACTCGAGAGCGGGAGCCTCGGGGATCCCGGGCGGCGGGCCGGCCGCGCCACCTCCCTTAAGCCGCCGGCCCCGGCCTCCCCCCCGCCCACCCCGGTGGCGCTGCCGGCGAGGGCCGGGAACGAGGGCGCTGCACCCCGTTCTTCGACTTCTGGATCGGCTGACGTGGCATCGGGGATTTCGCGCTCTTCTCGGGCGGGGAATTCTTCGGCTGCGTCGATCCATGATCTCCCGCCCCCCGCTTCTCCGAGGGCGGGCTACCGTCGTATGGGTACCGCCGCCTCGGTGGCCGCTGCCGCCGCCGCCGCCGCCGCTGCCCCGTCTGCGGCGACGCCCGCGGCCGCTGCCCCTGCTGCGTCGGCGCCGCGGCAGCGCACGGGCTTCATCACCACGCACCACGCTTCAGCAACTTCAGCAGCGCCGTCTCCGGAAACGGCGGGGAAACGGCGGGGAGGAGCCGTAATTCGCCGCCACGCTCCACCGCGCTCCGCCAACCGGCTTTGGAGTCCTCGGACCCCCCGCCGGCCAGCCCCCCTCGGGCCGGCGCTCCCCGGGCAAGGGCGCCGCCGGCCACGCGGCGGGCCGGCGTGGTGGTTCATCGTCACGATCCTCCGCCGGCCGACGCGCGGCGGGGGGGTGTTGTGATTCGCCATCCGGAGCTTCGACCTCTTCACCGGATCTGGCGCCTTTTCTTCGTGGCCAGGCGTCGCGGCCGTCTTCGGAGACCGAGCCACGGGCGACGCGTGCACCCCGGCCAGGCGAGGAACCTCGGAAGCCGACGACGTCGCGGGACCAATACGTGCCCTGACACAATTCGGTGCCCGCGCTCGACTTGGCCGCAAAAGAGGCGCGGCTTCTCCGCGGTGGACGGGTTGCCTCGGGTCGGCCACAGCACCCCCGCGGGCGGCATTGGTCCGACAATCTCCATGTTCCGCGTGACACCCTTTCCGGTGAGATCGGCAGGAGGACGCTGCTGGACGAACAGCTGGGTATTCGGCTTCACGACGCAGAACGGGCGTGTGACGGGTTGGGATGGACGGACCCCGGGTTGGAGGACGCCTACGCGCAGGCCCGCTCGGACTTCAGCGACAATCGCCGCCGCTTGTGGGAGCTCGAAGACGCCTGCGATCGGCGTGAAGGCCGAGCGCATGCGTGGGGTCCTCCTCGCGATTGGGAAATGCTGCGGGCGGTGGAAGCGGCAGCGGCGAACGATCGTCGGGAGCCGCCGTCGCCGGTTCGAAATGGTCAGCACGAGCGCCACGGTCGAACCAACAAACGCTCGCGGCGACAGCACAACCGCTCCTGCCGCGAGAGTTCTTCTTCCTCTTCGTCGTGGTCGTCGGACGGGTCGGGAGACGACAGGGATGAATGGAGGGCGCCGCGGCGCCGGTCGGATCCGGCGGAGCGGGAGGCCGTGCATCACATCCGGGTCTTGAGTTCTCGCCGGCAGGGCGACGCGAGTGATAGGGGAAAGCAGACCACGGGGTCGGGGGGGGGAGGAGACCGCGGGCGTCAGCGTTCGGGGGAGGACGAGAGGGAGCGTAGACACAGCCGAGCGACGTCGTGGAGAGGCTCGGCGGCTGGCGGATCTTCCCGGTCTTCGACTAACCCGTGTGCCGTCTTTATCCCCCAGCTCACATCCCCCTTCTTTGCCCCCTCACAACCCTAAGGTAGCCTCGAGATTGATGTCTTTTAACGAACCGCACCTTCCAGCAATACGTGCGGCCACGCCTGCCGTTGCCTGCTGGTAACACGTGGACGGCCCTAGTGACGTTGGTCGGTCGGTTGCGACATGTATTGTCGTACAAGGCCGACAGTCGTGCGAGGATGTCCATGCCACCGCGTGGGCGCCCGAGTGGACGTCACTCCCACAGCAATTTCTAGTGTGTTGTGCAGCTGCAGAGAGCGGGGAGGGCCCGGTGAACAAAATCTTGTCCATCGGCCGGGATTTGAATGAAACCATAAGCGACAGAAACCTCGACGGCCCACAAGGATTCGCCGAGCTCGTCAGCCAACTGACGAAGCGCTTTACCAGCTTCCAAGCCAGCTCCATCCCGATCATGCTGGCACAGTTTTCTGTTCCAATCAACACTCCTTTACAAGATTGGATCGTACAACTTAAGGAACTAGTAGAAGGACTCCTGCCCTTCCGACGCACAGATCGTATCCACCGCCATCGAAGGGCTAGCGGTACAGTACCCAGAAATCTCATTATTCGTGAGACCCATGTTGAAGCAAGCGGTGACGTTAGCGGATATGTGGCGGTGCTTTCGGGAAGCCGAGATAGATGAAAGCAACGCTCTCGCCCGCGCGCCTCCTAACATAGGAGCGGTGTCAACCCGCTCATCTACAGCACACTCTAGTCAACCACGGGTCCAAGCGGTAGTACGTTGTCGTTCGTTGGACACCTTGCCCTTGGGGCGCGAGTATGAGCTAAGCAGTGACGAGGAAGGATATCAACGCATTTCCCGGCACTTGTACCCTGTGCTCGGGAAGGGGTCAGACAAACAGACGCCTCTTTCGGCCGGCTCTTCCTTCCGCTTCTGGAAACTCGCGCCTGATTCGGTAGAGGGGGTGAAAGCTTAAAACCAGCTTCCGCGTGACGCCTGCTACAATTGTGGACGCACCGATCACTTCCTACGTGATTGCTCTGCGTCGTTCAGAAATGAGTGTGGTATGTTCTGTGAGTTGTTTGGGGAGGGTGCTCGCGAAGTGGTTGAAGACAGATGGCAAGCTAAGCTTCGTAGCCTAAAAAGGAACAATGAGCGAGTGGCTCTTCTCCTCACTCTGAAAATAGGAAGTTGACGGCGAGAGTTTCCGCCTCTCGGCGACGGAATGGACGGAACGATGCGGTGGTGGGGACGGGCGGAAACCGACGCTGCCGTCCGAACCGTCTTCCGACCTGGTGCAGAGAGGGGCGGGGTGCCTTCGGGCTCTCCACCTACTTTGTCGGATAGTAATAAAACGCCGACCTATTTGTCGGGAAGTTGTAAAACACCGATGCCCGAAAAACTACAAGTTAGTGTAGTACCGAAACCCGAACCGACCCCGAAACTCGAACCGAAGCCGATCGACCGAGTGCACAGAACGAGGTTGAGAGTAATTAACTTCGCCGGTAGGTCTTGTGTCCTGGGGCTGGAGGCGGCAGAGAAGAGGGGGCTGACCACTTGATCCGTGGTACAACAGCTCGCCCTTTTGAGAAAACGTCTGCAGCTCGAAACCGATCCGAAACCCGAACCGAAAGTAGTAAAGACAATCGCGGGAACTTGGCTGCCGTGACAAAACCGGCGCTCAAGACGACGCCTGCGGTTGTAAGCCCATCCCCCCGGGGTATCTACTGTTTAGCAAAGCGAGCGGCCACCGCGTTGTCGATGCTTCCAGTGATTGCCGAAATCTCAACTCAAGCCGGTCGAACAGCAGATCAATCACTGGAAGCATCGACAACGCGGTGGCCGCTCGCTTTGCTGAACAGTAGATACCCCGGGGGGATGGGCTTACAACCGCAGGCGTCGTCTTGAGCGCCGGTTTTGTCACGGCAGCCAAATTCCCGCGATTGTCTATACTGCTTTCGGTTCGGGTTTCGGATTCGGTTCGGGTTTCGGATCGGTTTCGAGCTGCAGACGTTTTCTCACAAGGGCGAGCTGTTGTACCACGGATCAAGTGGTCAGCCCCCTCTTCTCTGCCGCCTCCAGCCCCAGGACACAAGACCTACCGGCGAAGTCAATTACTCTCAACCTCGTTCTGTGCACTCGGTCGATCGGCTTCGGTTCGAGTTTCGGGGTCGGTTCGGGTTTCGGTACTACACTAACTGGTAGTTTTTCGGGCATCGGTGTTTTACAACTTCCCGACAAATAGGTCGGCGTTTTACTACACTACGCAGGTACCGAGCAGGGATCGGAACAACAATGTTCACTGCGAAGACAAGAACAACGGCGACAATGACAATAACGACGCAGGCCTTGCTTCGGTGGAACGTTTTACTCGTTCGGAAACGGTCTTTCGAACGGATCCTGGCGTACGCAAATTTGTGAGGTATGGCGTTCCGCGCCTCGCGACCGTTTCCCGAGACGCAGCGGACAAACCTTCTACATCGCCTCGTGAAATCTGAGGCCATGCATACTACTGCTGCACCGCTTTCTCCTCAGAGAGTTTACACAATTGTCCACGGCAGATGTCGTCAACTGACGGGCAAGCACCCGTCTTTTTTGCCACCAAACAATCAACTTTCCGGCAGCCACACCTTGTTCACTAACTAACGCGCCAAGCGAACCACCAAAACAAAGATATTTACAACCGGCGCCATGTACAGTAACCAGCCAGATAGACGAACGTCCGGTGGGCCCATCACACGCCGCCTTCCACGAGGTTCGGCGGCTGAAGCGGCAACGGTTTCCCCGCGGCAGCGCTTCTAATGAGGCTGTCCAAGTACTCGAGCACTCTCTGCTCCTTTGGTGTGATGTCTGGGTGCCACACCATCACCAGGAGGATTATTCGTTCCTTCTCGGTGTTATTTCGAGTCCAGTGGAGGTAGCTCGTGTCCGTGCAGAGAAGCCTTAGGAGGCGATCGTATCACGGTGCACGCGCGAGAAAAGGGACAGGGAGGGAGGAAAAGCGGGGGCTAAGTTAGG